GCTGGAAGAATAATACCCCATTTTCACTTGGGAACCTGCTGCCTTCTGGAATTAATATTGAGTTCAATAATTTTTGGGCTCGAGCACCTTCCCCATGTCTTTCTCCCAGCCAACACACTAGGTTGCTACCAAAAACAACCCATTGTCAGTTACTAATGGCCCCCATTAGCAGCTATTGATTCTCCGAGGCTGACCTTTGTCCACTCCTTTGGCTGTTTTATCTCTCTTTGGGCTCTCTATTTACCTGTCATTTATTCCTCCCACTCCCCCACCCTATCTTCTGAATAAATGTCAACCTTTTGATGTTCTGAAGAAGGATCACTGGACCCAAAACATTAACTCTGATTTCTCTCCACAGATGCTGCCAGACCTGCTGAGGTTTTCCAGAAATTTCTGTTTTTGTTTCTGATTTTCAGCATCTGCAGTTCTTTCGGGTATTTTTTGTCTCACAAACTTAGAGCCATAGAATAGGGCAGCACAGTGGCTCAGTGGTTAGCACTGCTGCCTCACAACACTAGGTACCTGGGTTCAATTCCACCCTTGGGTGACTGTGTGTGGAGTTTGCACAATCTCCCCGTGTCTGCGTGGGTTTCCCTCCGGGTGCTCTGGTTTCCTCCCACAGTCCAAAGATGTGCAGGCTAGGTGGATTGATCGTGCTAAATTGCCCATAGTGTTCAGGGATGTGTAGATTTGGTGTGTTATAGGGGAAGGGTCTGCGTGGGCTGTCTGAGAGTTGGTGTGGACTTGTTGGGCCGAAGGGCCTGTTTCCACACTGTAGGGATTCTATGATCTAATATTTCATTTCAAATAAACCTGGAGCCCAGAGGGATTCAGGATTCTAAGATTAACATGCAGGTTCAGCTGGTGGTAAGGTAAGCCAAATGCAATGTGGCATTCATTTCAAGGAGACTAGAACACAAGGGCTGAGGCTGTATAAGGCTTTGGTCAGACCACGTTTGGAATATCATGAACAGTTTTGTGCCCCATAACTAAGGAAAGATGTGTGCTGACATTGGAGAGGTTCAGAGGAGGTTTACAGTAATTGTCCCAGGGTCTGGACTTGATAGAGTTGAGAAGGATGATGGGGGATCTGATTGAAACTTACAGGACACTGTGAAGCCTGGATAGAATGGATATGTTTCCACTAGGAGTGACAAGGACTGGGGGGGGAACACAGCCTTAGGGTAAAGAGATGACCCTTTGGAACAGGGATTAGGAGGAATTTCTTTAGCCAGAGGGTGGTGACTTTGTGGAACTCATTGTGGAGGCCAAGGTATGGAGTGTATTTAAGACAGACTAGTAAGGGAATCAAGGGTTACAGGGAGAAGGCGGTTGACAAAATCTATTGGCCATGATCAAATGGATGAGCAGACTCAATGGGCTGAATGGCTTAATTCTGCTCTGATATGGTTTTATTACCTAATTGAGTGATAATTAGAACAGCATCCATTATTCTTTTGTTGAAAGGTATAGAACTGCTAAGTCTCCTTCCCCCACTTATTGCAGCTGCTCTTCCTCTACCCACCCTAGTATCTTCCAGCCATATTACCACCAAATTCAGCACTCACCTCCTTGCTGCTCCACTTCCTAACTGTCAGCAGCAAATTTGAGGAAAATACTTTGTGATTTGAGGTGTAGTTTCTCACAGAGGCTATCCATTTTATTTCTCGCATGGACTCTCCTCCATTTGGTCAGCACTGTGATGATTTCCTGGGCATTTTAGAGTCTTTCAGGAACACACTGCCTACTGACTCCATGTATTTGAGTGTTAAAACTTACACTTTGAAAGCTTTTAACGCCACATCGATGACTCATCAACAATAGTAAACCAGCAGACCTTCAAAGCCTAATGGTTGTTTGCTTAGTTTTCCATTTCCCAGTCAACCTCATACAAGAGCTTAACGTTTTGATCTTCACCAAAATTGTTCGAACATATTGCATTGTTGATCCAGCAGTAGTGAAGGAATTGCAGTTATTGTTAGTCAGGTGGATATATGTGGTGGAGGGAAATTGGCAAGTGGTGGTATCTCCGTGCATCTGCTAATCATGTCATTCAAGCTGATAGAAGTCATGGATTTGGAAGGGGCTTTTGAAGGAGGTTTGATAAGTTGCTACAGTGCCTCTTGTAGATCATACGTACTGCTGCCATTGTGGTAGTGGATAGCAGTACCAGTTCAGCAGGCTGCTTTGTCCTGGTTCATATCAAGTTGAGTGCTATTGGAGCTATGCTCGTTCAGGCAACTGGAGAGCATTCCATCACACTCCTGACTTATGCATAGCAGATGGTGGACAGAAATTGGGAAAGTCAGGTGATGAGCAGAACAGGACAAAATCCCCAACCTTTGATCTGAGTCTGTCTGTACGTCTAGTTCAGTTTCTGGCCAATAGTATCCCTCAGGATATTGAGGGTTGAGGCTTCAGCAATGGTGATGTTGTTAAACATCAAGGGGATTGGTTACATTCTCTCCTGTTAGAGATGGTCATTGCTGAGTAAGTGCTACTTGATTGTTCACAGTATTATGTCCATCTCTGTGCTAATGATTTACAGTTGACTGAGACTTTTATTAGTCTCGTTAGATTTGTGCACAGGACATAATGGGACAACTTTCCACATTGACTGGTAGATGCCAAAGTTCTGACTATGCTGCAATAACTCAGTTAGAAACATGGCTAGTTCTGGAGAACAGGTCTTCAATATTATAGCCAGTGTTGTCCATGATAAACATCTATCAAATAATAATGAAGATCTCAAAATGTATACAAATAACTAATTCAAGAATTGTTGACAAAAACACAATATTTGTGTTTAAGCAAAGCAGTGTCACCACTCCCCTGAACATTTGTATTTCAGGTAACCCAACTAATAATAGAAGCAAAATAATTGCAGCATTCTTTTGAGGGTGAAGTTGGAATATTCAACAAGGAATGGATCAATACTTGAAAGAGACATAAGTAGGGATACATGGAAAGAACGAGAGAGAGCGAGAGAGATTAATTGAATATAGCTCTACCAAGAACCAATACAAGCAAAAACAGACTGAATTGCCTCCGTCTGTGGTGTCTTAGTCAGAGTCTAAGACACATTGTAACTCCGTACTGTGGCAAAATGGTGCTAAGCTAATTCTTAAAACAAAATTCCTTCAAGTTCCTCAATTTGAAGAATGAAGACTGATATTTAAGAATGGTGTTTTCTGGTAGGGATCTCACTTGTGCTACCCATATTTACCTAACCCTCCCACAATATAAATGCGATAGATATTTCATTGACAAGATCACCAGAAAATATGTTGGTCACAAAGCTCTCTGACACTTTGAGGATTTAAAAGGTTAAATGTTCTTTCTTCACCTTTTTAAACTAAATTATTTTAAAAAACCAAGATTGGAAATCTATTCATCAGAATTGTGCACAAAAGGTTAATGCAATTTGTCCACATAACTGGTTGATACTGATGGCCGTATTGACTGCAGCATTCATGGACCAGTTGAAAAGGTCCCAAGCCAAATCAGAACTATGGGTATTCAGACAGCTCAGAGATCTACCCCTCCCTGAGGGATTAGTGTACTCCACTCAGTTAGGTGGTCAGGTTACACTGTCGAAGGAAATAGCATGAACATGAATGAACTATAGTCCTTTTCTATCCTTCTGAAAGACTGCTGCATTGTTAATAATTGCTGTCTTTCAGTTGAGGTACTAAGACATAGTCCAAAAGATCCAATGGAATACTCAAAAGAAAAGTAAAGTAATGTAACGAGGGGGCCAATGTCCATATCTCAACTAAACTGATTAATTTAGTAATTTCTTATTTGCTGTTCCACAAGATAGTGGAGCAGAATAGGCTGTATGTTTCATTAAGCCTGCTCCATTATTGAGTACAACAAGTCAATGTTTGGCTTTAACTCCACTTTCTTGCTGCCTACGCAGACAACCTGATTTCTTTAGACCAAAGATATCTGACTATCTCAGCCTTAAATAAGTCAGAGTATCCGTAACACACTGGATTTGAGAAGTCTAAAGATTCACAACACTTTGAAGGAATGCCTTCTTATCCCAGTCCTGCTGTCTGCTGAAATCAACCACTCTTGTGTTGTATTTCTGAAGGAGGGTCTAGGCCCCAAACGTCAGCTTTCCTGCTCCTCTGATGCTGCTTGGCCTGCTGTGTTCATCCAGCTCTACACCTCTTATCTAAGATTCTCCAGCATCTGCAGTTCCAACTATCTCTGAAACAATGTTGTATTTGGTTGGCTGTGAAGTCTTGAAGTGATATAAAAATCAAGACAAATTTAGATTTGTAAGTAATAAGGATCATTTCAGTCTTAAGCAAGGGGAGATTTGTCTGAAGGGTGATTGTATACGATTTTGTTTAAAAAATGCCTCATCATTCAAATATTTTTATCCTTATTGAACACAGACAGTTCTTATAGAATATCTACAATGATGCAATTGTGTGATCTTTGATCATTTTGGGGCGTTTGTTTTTGAACTGGATCATTCTACTTTAAAAGTTTTCCATTGTTGTACAAACTAAATAAAGAAAACATACATAATCCAATCAATCAGAACACCTCAAAATTGGCTTTACTATTGTCAACCTTTACAACCCAGGGACTGAAATTTCAGCACCTGGATGAATTCTGGACCCAACCCATATTTGTTACCACAACACTTTGTAAAAAATGTAAATGGCCAAACTGGCTAGGAGGCAAGTGCAGTGCCAAATCCAGCAGCACTCATGTTGGGTCCTGATACTGCTTTGGCAATTAGAGCAGGAGCTCCACAAAAGACCAGGAGATTGAAAATAAAACACAGACAACAAAATTTGGTGTAGTGCTTGGACCAAAGAAACAAGTACTTCAAAAATGCTAAGAATACAACTGTCCCACAGGCATTGGGCTCCTGAGATGACCTTCAGGACAAAGATGAGGACCCTCATGCAGGCCCCAACACCATCTGACCCTTTAACTATCCATCTCCAGACCATTTATAAAGCATACAATACTGGTGCTTTTAAAAAATTAATATATTTATAGTATCTGTACACACAATCAAGTGCTTTGAGCATACAGGTCATTACAAAATATTCAGGTAACTCATCATCAAATAAGGTTTAATCAAGTGCAAATTTATCCTCGTGTACATCACAGCATACCCACCCAGGACTTCATAGTAAGTGGGATATCATTTTTAAATATAGGATTCAATCCCATCTAACAAAGGACAGGAACATCAAGATGGTTGTACTGTACTAAAACACATTTTAGGAAAACTTCATATTTTTGTTTATTCTATCAGAACTTGTCCATTCTTACAGAACAATTGTTAATATATCCACAATATGATAAAAATACTCTACATTGCTAGTTACTATGTATGCAACTAGTAGTAGTGTAATAAGCTTATATTAATATCATTGGGCATTGCACATACTAAAAAGAGCAGGAAATCTTCAAGTTTTAACAGAACATTCCTTGTGTTATGATATCAACCCAGGCCAATGATCAACTAAGAGAGATTGTATATAATGTCAATGTCAGTTAAATGTGCGCTCTGGTGAAAGACACGGGATGGAAAATGGACATTGTCCTTCAGTTTTTGTACCTAGAGTCAGTGCTCATTTCATGTATAGAATAAGTTAGGTACAATGTAAAACTACCTTTCCTTTGTTCCAATAGTATTCTTTGAACCCAATGTCAGAAGTTACCAATACTATTTTATGCAAACCCTATATTAGCCACCATTTCACCCTGCCATAACCAAGTGCTAAAAATTGTGGAAAGTTACATGTAGTGAACAGGTTCAATAGGAAGTCACATTTAATTACCAAAAAATATCTAAATCTGTACCTTAGTGTTGTAAGAAACCAGAACCATTTTACAGTTCAAGGCTGATATGAATTAAGAGGCTAAAACTTTAGCACCTAGTCCTTTAACCTGCAATCTAACATTAAGGATACATATCAAATCTCTCCTGCAATGGTTCTGGAATCTAATAGTTAAATTATTGCTGTGAGGTAACCAGACAGCTGAATTACTTTATTAAATATAGACTTTTGGTCAATTGGGTAAAATGTCTCAAGAGGAATCATTTTAAAATTCACACTATCGTTTAGCAAGTATAAACAGTCCCAAAGGCAGACTTCATTTTCCTCTGAGCATGGTGCGTCATGTAAAAGACACATTATAATGAAAAGCATGTTTTTAAGAAATACATCTTTCAACGACTAGCCAAAAAGGTGTCATGAGAATATTGTAATGTCGGTATGGTAATACATTTGCAATTTTTGCTCATTTTAACCAAAATGAGCATCCATAAGATATATCTCCGATTATTGGCAAATTATTATTTTAGCAAGGTCACAACCAGGTTTGTATTTTGCAACTGCTAAATTAGTGTCCTTTTCAAATGACTACAGAAGATGCATTTGTTTTAAGCCATACAACATTTGTTTGGCTTTATACTAGAGTCCCATTTTTTCTGTCATATTTTACCACAGGAGTGAAGTTAATGGTCGCATACTCCGTTGCATTTTCTTTCTGTCTTGCCTTAACTTGCTTGAGAGTGCGTTGAGATCCCTGTTGAATCACATGAACTTCAGCATAGTGGATATCTTCTGGCCTCTTTTTATTAATTTGAGCATACAATGGTATGTCGGGAGCTACTTCATCGTAGGGATGAGAATCTTCATGTATCTTTGACTATAGAAATAAAGAAAAATGTGATTTGGAACTTGAAAGCCATACTTGTGCAAAAAAAAAAGAGAAAAGCATTTACTGTGTCATTGTGATATTTGCCATCGGTGAAAAGTCCGGAGCACAATTTTCTAATATAGTGCTTCTGGGGAGCAAGACTTTACCATAGAAAAAGTAAATGTGGAGAAGCATATTTGTCTGGAGCTCATGAAATGACAATGTAAGGAATAATAATCTAGCCTGATGCTTCAGAATGAAGGGACATCTTTGGATGGGCCTGTCCTTAGGTGAGACATCAAAACAACACATTACCCATTCTGGCAGTTCAGGTGAATATGACTGTGGTCTTTAAATCGGAACAGAGTTTTCAGTGTCCTGGCCAACATTCTGCTCTTCACCAAAACTACACAAATGCATTAAACTATTCATTGGACTGTATGCTGCGTGTGGAACTTTGCTGGTTCATCCAAACAACAGAAAGCAATAATCTATTTGAAGTGCTATAAAATGTCATACAAATACAGTAAATATAAACTATGAATATAATTTCTTCCATATTTTGACTCCTTTTTCCCACTTAATTCCTATGAACATTGTTTTCTCCTATTATGTTTAGGTACTGTCTTTAGCTGATTCAATCATTTCTCAAAATTATTTAGTAAGAAAGCAAGTGTCAGTGTTTTCTAAGTAACTTTTCTAAAGTATGCACTCACTAGTTTACAAATTTATTATTTTGAAAACAGTTGTCTGGAAATATTTTGACCACCCAAGCAACATTTTAATGCAGTACTTTGGGAGCAGAACTTGGAAGATACAGTATTTGAATAAGTGATTTTTAAAAGACTACTTCATAATATTGTACCACTTTTATGCTTCAGCTAATTTTTTTTATATATCAATAGTGTTTTCTGGTTCACAGACTTGCAGTTAAGCATTCTACCAAAGTGAGTTGGTCCCAAGCATTTTGGGCTAGACAAATCACAGTATATATTGAGATTACAAGTGCAAGATAAAAGTAAAACATGGTCTTATTTTGCCTTTTTTTTTTTAAAACTTAGCTTTGTTTTGCTTAGCTTGCTCTGTAACGAAACAATTTAAAAAACTCAACACTTTAAAACGTGTACCAATTAACTTGCATATTTTTAGTTTTTAAAATTTTCCTGCATAATATTTGTTATTTAAAATGATAAACCTTTGTCCTAAAATTTTAAAGACTAAATCACAAAGTCAGTATGCATGAACTGACAATTCATGCAATTATTAGGCAATGTTAATGAAACGTTGGTTTTTATTGCAAGGGAGAGGGAGTATAAAAGTGGGGAAGACCACTTCAGCTGTTCAGAGCATCAGACATTATACCAATAAAAGTATTTTATGCAGTTTGGTCACATTACTTAAGGAAAGGCACATTTACATTGGAATTGATACATAGAAGTTTCACTAGGTTGATTCCAGTAATCATGGTGTATTTACATGGGAAGGTTGAGCCTATATTAGTGTTTAAAAAAAATGAGAGGTGATCTTATTAAAACAAAGGAGATTCTGAAGGTCCTTGTCAGGGAATCCAGAACTAAATGGTGCAGTTCAAAAATAATGAGTCTCCCATTTAAAACAGAGATGAGAAGGAATTTAAACGGAAGTTGCTGGAGAAAGTCAACAGTTCTAGCAGCATCCGTGAAGAAAATAAAAATCAGAGTTAACGTTTCAGATCCAGTGACCCTTCCTCAGAACTTCACAGAAGCTGCCAGACCTGCTGAGCTTTTCCAGCAACTTCTGTTTTTGTTCCTGATTTACAGCATCTGCAGTTTTTGGTTTTTAGGAAATGGAATTTCTTTTCCAAGGGTCATGACGGTTTAGAATTTTTTTAAAATTGAGATGTATACATGGAGTAATTGAATATATTCAATTCGGTGTTAAGCAGATTATTGATTGATAAGGGAGTTGAGGTTTGTGAGGAGGAAAGGGGAGTCGAGGCCACTGTCCGATTGAATGGCAGAGTTAGAGGTTGAGGGATAAGATAGCCTTCTCCTGCTCCTATTTATGTTCTTACAAAAGGTGTGTAAGCCAATATCAACTAGATTGAAATATCTCGAACAGCAAAATACTTGAGTTTGTTTAAGGCTGTAACATTTATCAGTGTGCAGAGACATTGGAAGATTTCCATCAACTTTTAACACTTGCAAGCTGTCTCTGCCAAAAAAATGATAAAATGGTAAAGATATAATGTTAAACTGCTACCTTTAATCTACTTTGCACACTGCTGTTACCTGCATATATTTGTCATCTCTTGTCCTCCTCTCGGAAACTACAAAGAAGAATTCAACAACAAGTTGGTGTCATAGTCAAAAACATTTTAAAGAAACTTTGAAAGTTTGATTAACAGCTGAAACCTTCCCCACATTCTCAGGTGTCTGCACCATTTCCAGGTTCCCAACCCACTCGGGTCAGTGGTGCTCCTGCCTGCTGAAATCTACCTAACAGGGGAAGTGGGGAGCACAAATGCAGTCACTGTCCAGTTTGGAATGGCAGGTGGGTTTTAGAGAAACAAGGCCAGGACTGTGCAGTGCTAAATGTGACAGTAGTAATTACACTGGATGTCAGGTCTAAGCAGCAGTGTCAGAGAAACATTTGGAGCTGGCAACAGCTGAGCGGTTTAGACCTCTCAGTTTAGGATTCCAGAAATTCCACACACACGGCTTGGCTTTTGAGATGGGGAGGAAGCAGCGTTTCCTGCAGTGTCTTCACCTCCCACTACAGACAGATGGGTGGGTGGGCGGGCGAGCGAGAGCGAGACAGAGTGTAACTAGCACAGACGCTTGCTGATGGTTCAGTAAGGAAAATCAGACAAATGGCACAACACAGGACATCAGGAAAAACAATCCTGTACCATAAACTGGTCAGACTGGCCAAAACCTAGACTGTCCAGAACAAAACCAGGCATTTGACCTCCCTCATCAGAAGTTTTGGCTCCTCTATTCAATTGAGGCTAAAGACAGACTTTTGCCCAATTGTATGTGGAGTTCTTTCCAGTCTTAAAATGTGTCACCATGTATTGGCTGAGGTCAATGATCTGCCAATCAATTTTTTGTCCTGTCTCCCAACAAGGAAGGACATTGCTGAGGCTGTATATAATATCAGGGGCTCAAAGAACAAGGATAAGTCTAAACTCTTAACCACCTAGGGAGTGGTGCTGTATTTTCAAGCACAAATATGTAATGCCACACTTCATTTGAAATGAAAGTATCGAGAATATAAACAAATTAATTCACCATCTAAGAAAATGCTTCAGGTTTGACAAATGCTCACAAGATGTGTTTCCAATCAGGGTTCTCTTGAATGTAATTACTGTAGCGCTGACGCATGACCGTGGCAGGATATAGCTTCCTAACCTCTGGCATGAATAGAACACTCAATAAGACAGCTATTATTCATTCAGCAAGTACGTATTTTGTGAATGAATTTATTCATAGCACAAACAAAAACAAACTGCTGGAGACATTCGGCAGGTCTGGCAGCATCTGTGGAGATAAAACAGTGTTAACATTTCAGGTCCAGTGACCGTTCTGTTTTCCACAGTGGTTTGTTTTCTTTTAATTCTTACTGTACACTGGACGTGATGGGTTTTTTTTGCTGAATTCAGAAACCATTCACCTTCATTTCATTTTTGCACATTAGATAAAAGTAAAAAAAAAGCAAAGTCATCATAATCCTACCAAACCATAGAGCTACTCTGTCAGAGACAGACAACTGATTGTGGATTAACCAGAAGGTCACACCACCTCAGGCAAAGGGAAGCATTCTATCTGGATGCATCACGGCTTGGTACGGCAACTGCTTTACCTAGGACCATAAAAAAAACTACAGAGAGTTGTGAACACAGCCCAGTCCATTATGCAAGCCAACCTTCCATTCATTGACTCCATTTACATTTCTTGCTGGCTTGTAAAGGCAGCTGACATCAGTTGAGGAAGGGTAACTTGACCCAAAATATTAACTCCGATTTCCGTCCATAGATGCTGCCAGACCTGCTGAGCTTTTCCAGCACTTTGTTTTCATTTCAGAGACCCCTCCCACCCCAGTTATAATCTCTTCCACCAGGCAGAAGATACAAATGCTTAAACACATAACAGGTTCAAGAATAGCTTCTTCCCTGCTGTTAGTAGACTTCTGAATGGACTTCTCAAATTTGATCTTGTTTTTTGTGCAATTTCTTTGCAACCGTAACTTTGTATTCCATGCACTGTTCAATCACCCAATGATGTTTGCATGTTATGATCTGCCTGTATTGCAAGCAAAACAAAAACTTTTCAATATACGTAGGTACTATGACAATAATAAAGCAAACCAAATGTTGAGAACAGCTGTTCTTTGTGGTAACTTCAGCCAGTGCAGGAATTGAATCCACGCTACTGGTGTCACTCTGCATCACAAAATTGGCCGTCAAGCCAACGGAGTTAACTGAAATTTTGTTCTCCATTTCAAAATCTCCCCTTGTCACAGCACAGATAATTTTGACCTAAAGTTGGAATAGCTGTATCACTCAACCTCAGCCATCTGGTCGTGCTGTTGAGCAAGGCAAGAACATGCCAACTATCCTAATTGATGCAGTGACACCTAATGGCTAGATTAGGGATGACATGTTAGAAGAAAAATTTTCATTATGGCAGGTGAAAGATAACAGGTCTAAAACAGGAAGTCTCTTCCCTCCACAGAGCTGGTGACTACTTGTTTTAAGAAAAAAATGGTTTGAAAGTATTAAATGTTGACCAGCATACCAGGGAGCTTTCTTGTACAGCAAGTTTAAAATCACCATTAAGTCATGGCGCCATGGGTTGAGATGACGGGTGAAGGTGGTCTAATCCAAGGGTCATCATGTCTCAGGCAAGCAGGGCAGTTGAAGAGGCGTATCCTTTGTGGTAACTTCAGCAGGAAGTTGAACTCACGCTGTTGGCATCACTCTGCATCACAAACTGGCCATTCAGCCAACTGAGCCTAAGTACTGTACTAAGGGAAAGTGCTTTCCCTAGAATGAAGTGACAGATCATCCCAGCACATTCTCACTATCCTTAAAAGCATTGGAAACAGGTCCACAATCCTAGAAAAACAGTGGTGATAACATGAACAACTATCAGCAGTAAGAGGTGAAGATGAATGATAAAGAAATACATAAGTTGTAGAATCAATAATAGGCAACACAAAGTCATTAGCCTGAAATATCCTTATTTCTCTTCTTAGATGCTGCCACATCCGAGTGTTTCCAGAATTGTTTTTTTTTTTTTTTTTTTTTTTTAAATTTTTGTAACAGAACAAACCAGTTACTGTTTTTCCTAAAACACTCACCTGTACTGTTCTTTATTGATTTACTTTTTTTGGTACTTTTCCTGTTGGAGAAACACATTTAAAAGTTAGTTTGTCATTTGAATGTTCTTCGAAAAAGTTACATCAGTTTGGATGGAACCACAAGTTGTCCATTCAGACTCAAGCAGTTCCACCATTCAGTTAGAGTGTCAGAGTTATACAGCACGGAAACAGATCCTTCAGTCCACCTCAAATGCTAACCAGATATCCTAAAATGATCTAGTCCTATTTGCCAGCATTTGGCCCATATTCCTCTGAACCTCTCCCATTCATATACCTTTTAATTTTACCAGCCTCCACCTCCTCTGACAGCTCATTCGATACATGCATCACCCTCTGCATGAACCAACCTTGGGTCCCTTTTAAATCTTTCCCCTCTCACCTTAAACCTATGCTCTCTAATTGTGGACTCCCTATCCTTGGGGAAGGCACCTTGGCTATTCAACCTATCCATGCCCCTCAATTTTATAAACCTCTACATAAAGGTCACCCCTCAGTCTCTGATGCTCCGGGGAAAATAGCCCCAGCCTATTCAGCCTCTCCCTATAGCTCAAACCCTCCAATCCTGGCAACATCGTTCTAAATCCTTTCTGTAGCCTTCCAAATTTCACAGCATCTTTCCTAAAGCAGGGAGACCAGAATTGAACATCCTATTCCAAAAATGGCCTAACCAATGTCCTGTACAGCTGCAATGACCTTCCAACTCCTTTTCTCAATGCACTGATCAATAAAAGGTAAGCATACCAAATGCCTTCTTCACTACTTTGTCTACATTATGGCTGATCATCCTCTCAATGCAATTTCTTACACCATGCCCACACTCCTCTAATCAATTTCTGTCCTAGATGTACTCAGTGACAGAGCCTCTACAGGCAACTCTGGTACAGAAATCTGAAGATGCACTACACTCCAGAAATTCGTCCTCACCTCAATCTCAATCGGCTACCTCTTATTTAGAGACCGTGTCCTTTGGATCTAGGCCGGTGTCCAATTAGGGGAAATATCTTTCGGAGATCTACCCTCTATGATAGATCATACTGGTGGTAACTTTACTTGCATTTTTGTGGGTTGCAGTCAGTGGTAAATTTGCACGTTGACACTCTCTGGGCCCCAGGAAGATGTCAACACTTGGACCACAGTTCCAAGGATTGGAAAATCATTAGAGGAGGACTTTGTTTCCTTCTGGAGCCCACAGGAGCACTCCAGCTTATCACACAGGACTGTACAGGACATTCAGCACAAAAACAGGCCATTCAGTGTAACTAATCCATGCTGGCAATTATGCTCCATTCCAACCTCACCTTTTTAACATCCAAAATCAGTCTAAATAGATATTCCATCTTTGCTCAAATGCTCAACTTTCTCTTAAAAATTCACTTTATCCACTCCCTGCAAGTTTCATATTCTTATTACTCCTTGGATAAAGGAGTTGTTTCTTAATTCCCTATTAGATTGCTTGGTGACCATCTTAAGTTGATGTCTAGAACATTTAATCATGTTCCTCCACAAAAGAACAAACATTCTCTCTGTATTACCTTTCACAAACTTCCATAATTTTAAAAGCCCTCCATTAGATTACCACTCAGCCTTTCCATTTCAAAATAGATGACACCCATCCTCTCAAGCCTTTCTGGACATCTAAGTTGTAGGAGGCAAAAGTTTCTGAAAGGGTTAATGCTGAACATTGCAATAAGCTCCACCCATATGCTGTCATAAGGATGTAGGGTGGAAAAGCAGGACAGTTCTGCATCTCAAAGAAGATAAACCTATCATTTAGTCTCCCTTCGTCTCAGTAGCAATATCTATTACACTAACGTAATATGTAACAATGACACTATGTGATAACTACATCTTATTTAAGAGAAGACTCTTGTTAGACTACCTAGTGGTTTTCCTCTACTACATGAAAGGAAGCAGGCCTTGTAGAACCCAACCTTAAAAAAGAAAGGAAGATCGTGGCAGCAATCTGTCTTTGTGGTGACTAAGAGTCCAATGAGCTCATATAACTTGGTGCCAGGAGTCTTTATCAGAGGGTTTAGTTTAATCGCACCATTACTATCATGTATATCCACAAATTTCTAGCATAATTCTGGTAAATCTCTGCATTCTCTCACTATCCTTTTCATAACATATGGAGACCAGGACTCAAGTGTAGTCCAACCAAAGTTTGAGACATTTAGCATAACTTCCCTACATTTCAATTCTATCCCTTGAGAAATAAAGCCTAGGGCTTGGTTTGTTTTTTTTAAAAAAATGAAAAATGGCACAGCTTTTGGTGATTTACTTACTTGTACATGAAAAGATTCCTTTACATTATCTAGTCTTGCCCACAAGGAGATTTTTAACATTGAAAAAAAAACTTAGCTGGGCTACTCTGAACCAGCTTGCAGTAAAGTTGACGGACAGCTTCTCCATTCCAGCTTTCGGTTAATTATTTATTCTCCCATGGGATCTGGGCATCACTGGCAAAGCCAACATTTGCCCATCCCTAACTGCCTTTGAACGGAGTGGCTTGCATTGCCATTTCAGAGGGCAGTTAAAGAGTCAATCACATTGTTATGGGTCTGGAGTCATACATTGGCCAGACCGGGCAAGAATGGTGGATTTCTTTTCATATAAAGGCACAGAATTAATGAACCAGGTAAGATTTTGTAAAGAACAAAAAAAAAATACATCAACATTTACTTTCAATTCCAAATGCTATTAGTTTGAATTTAAAAATTCCACCTACTGTAGTGCAATATAAACACAGAGCACTAGCCTGAGCCTCTGGATTAGAAGTGACATTACCACTATGCTACCACCTCCCCTAATGTCTTGCCCAATACATAATTAGAGCCCAATCTGCATTTAAAAAGAAGGATTCTGCTCAGATCCTTCAGAGAGGTGTCCTTGCTATCTACAATCCAAAAGTGTTAAAAAGTTAAAGTTAAAGAAGAAACAGATAGGCAGCCCAAAAGTTCTGGTAGATTATCAAATGGAAATCTTAACACTGTTTCTCTCCACAACTGATGCCATGTTTGCTGAGTATTTTCAGAACTTTTTCCTGTAGTTATGGTAACTTTTGCTGCATTTTCTCAATGTTATAACAGTGCCAACACTTCTCAAAATACCCAAGCAACATTCTGGGAGGTCTTGCAAACATGAAAAACGGTAAAAGCAGGTTCACTTTTTTTACTTTCGCAAACATCAAGTAGTTTTAAGCAGCTGTGACATCAGCCTTGACGAGACAGCGCGACAGCCTTGTTTTTAAACTGTAGCTGATGTCCAGCAATTTACTAGGATAAATTTAAACTTGCTGCAAATTCATCAATTGAGATTAAATCTTGCAGTTCCTCTAGACACTGCAATAATGCCAAATTGGTTGTCTAAATGCATTAAAGGTTGAGGGGGATAGTGGAGAAGGCAGCCAAGAGCTGACAAGCTTAAAGCAAAAGCCAAGAACATATTTTTGTTGGAGTAAATATTATATTACAAAATGAGATGTTGTTATTCAAATAACAGTAAGTATGTATTTAGGAATAAATTGAGCATTCGATTAAGGGAACAAGAATTTGAGCACATTACACAGCCTCAGGACATCTCAGTTACTTTATGGCCAGTGAAGTACTTTTAAAATATACTGCTGTGATGTGTGAAACACAGCTGCCAATTTAAACACAGGCAGCTCCCAGAGTAATGATAATGACCAGATATTCTGATTCTAATGATATTGGATAAGAGATAAATATTGGCCAGGACAAAGATAATACCCCTGTTCTTCCATAAAAAGTGTAATGGAAACTTCATGTCCGCCTACAACGGTGGACTTTAGACAGGACCTTTGTAACTTCACAGCACCACAATTGGAAAAATATTTCTAGTCGATAGGATTAGATACTGAACTTTGGTCACATGTCCTAAACTTGGCAGTTTTAAGAGATGGGAGGCGAGAATATATTTAAAAAGTGTAAGAAAGAGAAGTCGTCCAGAAAGGATATTCCGGGGGAGGGGCGGGAGGGAAAGCAGGGAGTTCAAAGTGACTGTCCCTGACATCAAATCAGCATCTGACCAAGTGTGGTATCAAACAGTACAAGCAAAACTGGAGTGATTGGAAATGGGATTGGGTGACAGGGGGATGCTCCCCGTTGTCTGGTGTCATATCTACCACAAAAAAGTAATATAGTTGTGGTTTTTGAAAGCTAATCATCTCAATCAAAAGGACACCTGTGCAGGAGTTCCTCGCAGTAGTGTCCTAAGCTCAAACAGCTTCAATGACCTACCTTCCCTCAATCGTGAGGTCAGAAGAAGTGGAGATGTTGATGTTGCACAATGTTCAGTGCCATTCACGATTCCTCAGATAATGAAGTATTCAGTGTCCAAATGCAGCAAGACCTGGACAACATCCAGGCTTCAGCTGCTGAGTGGCAAACACATTCGTATCACAGGAACATCACCAATAAAAAGTCTAACCATTGACCCTTCATGCTCAAAGGCATTAGCATTGCTGAATTCCCCACAATCAGCATCCTCAGAATGACATTGACCAGAATTGAACTGGACCAGCCCCACACAAAGTCATGTTGCTAAGAAGAGGTCAAAGGCTAGGAATTTACTCACCACCTGTCTCCCCAAAGCTTGTCCACAATCAACAAGGCACTAGTCATTTTCCCACTGCCTGGAGGGTGCAACACCAACACCACAAGAAGCTTGACACTATCCAGGACAAAGGTTACCCACTTGGTTGGCATCCATTGACCATCAGCATTCACTTCCTTCAATGTACAGTAGCAGCAATGTGTACCATCTACAAGATACACTACAGTAACTCACTAAGATTCCTTCAACAGAATCTTCCAGTCCTGCAACCTGTACCACCTAGCAGGATTAGGATTCATGGGAATAGCATCACCTGCAAGTTCCCCTTCATTACCGCAATGTGGGTACCACAACACCCCAAGGATTGCACTGGTTCAAGAAGGCAGCTGACCACCACTTTCTCCAGAGCAACTAGGGATAGACAATAAATGCTTGCAGAGACAAG